TCTCTCTCTCTCTCTCTCTCTCTCTCTCTCTCTCTCTCTCTCTCTCGCTCTCTCACTGTCTCGCTCTCTCGCTCTCTCACTGTCTCGCTATCTCTCTCTCTCTCTCTTTTGGTGGAACTGGGGATTGAACTCAGGCCTTTGCGCTTGCCAGAGAAGCGCTTATTCCACTGAGCCGTATCCCTGGCCCCTCTTTCTCTCTCTCTCTCTCTCTCTCTCTCTCTCTCTCTCTCTCTCTCTCTCTCTCTCTCTTTCAGTACTGGGGATAGAACTCAGGATCTTGTGCTTGCCAGGCAGGTGCTTGTGCTGCTGAACTATATCCCCAGCCCTTCCATGTTTTCATGTTATTTTGCATTTTGTCTAGATCTCATAGACTGGCAGCATCTGCTAGCTTGGCATTGTCTTGAGTGAGAGGAGGGCCACAAGGGATGCCAGGAATGGTCTCCAATCTGAGTCTGTCGGTTGAGCTTCTGTAGGACTGCACAGGGCACTTGGGGATGCTTCTGGTGCCCAGTGGGGCTGGGGATGTAGCTCAGTGGCACAGTTTTTGCCTGGCAAATGCAAGGTCCTGAAGTTCCACAGCTGTGTCACAACCCCCCCCCCCAGGGGTCACAGCTGGCTTGCAGGTGCTCCTGACAGTAAACTCAGTTTGATTTTTTAAACACAGAAAAAAAAAAAAAACCCTAAAATGTTCTCTTAATTATTTGTATGTGTGAAATAGCATTACTGTCAGTATACTGCTCAGAGCTACTTACCCCCCATTACTGAGTATGGCATAAACACCATTATTTTTAGGACTTCGTTAAATGGTACTGTATAAATTATACAACAGTACTAATGGTAGTTACAATAAAAAACACAAAAGTTGACATACTTAAAACACTAAAACATGAGAGATTAAAAGCCACTAGATTAAGAAAATAGAAGAAAGCATGAACAAATAATTTCTGAAGAAATGAAGCCGAGTGTGGTGACACACACTGTAATCTCAGCACTATCACCGACTGAGGCAGGAAGATTGCAGGCTTGAGTTCAGCCTGGGCAATTTAGTGAAACACTGTCTTAAAAATTAAAAATAAAGGGGCTGGGGAGATAGCTTAGTGGAATAAGCACTTGCCTGGCAAGTGAAAGGACCTGAGTTCAATCCCTGGTTCTGCAAAAAAATTAAAAAATTAAAAATAAAAAAGGGCTGCAGATGTGGCTCAGTGAAAAAAGTCTTAGGTTCAATTCCCAGTACCGAAAAAAACCAAAAAACAAAAACCACTTAAAAACAAAGACCCAAACCAAAATAAAGCCTTTGAAGAATATAATCATTATGTGCTGCGAACAAGTACCAATACAAATTTATTTATTTATTTATTTATTTTTTTGGTCTTTTTGAGACAAAGTCTCCCTATGCAGTTCAGGCTGGTCTTGAGCTCACTTTATAGCCCAGGCTGGTCTCAAAATCTCATTGATCCTCCTGCCTCAGCCTCTTGAGTGCTGAAATTATAGGTGTGTACCATCATACTCAGCAAAAATAAAAATTGATACAAACAAAAAAGGAAAAAGAAAAAAGACTCTTAAGTGAAAAGATGTCCCAACTCACTCAAAATGTAGGAAATGCAAATTCAACATTTGTCAGGCAAAAATGAAAATTTGATGGGACATACTATTAGTGACCCTTCCCAAGGTGCCAGTTACTAGAGACACCTGCAGTGACTCCCAGTCTTCTCCCCAGGTTATGTGCACAGCTGGAAAGGAAAGAGACAAGTAGAGGGGGGCACAGCAAGGATCTGGGACCTTGGGCTGCTCTCTAGGAACAAAAGCTCCTGAGTCTCCAGCTAGGCACCATTTTATTAGCCAGTGGGGGTTGGGGGGTAGAGTGCTTTACCACAGCGCAAAGGCTGTGGTAGAAGGGCAAGTTTAACATCACAGAGGGGATGTGCCAAGATCCATCCCCACACCTGCGTGCTAACCTCACTGATTGAGAGGAAGGCGATTTCTGCATTCCAAAAGGGTTAACAAGGCAGGCAGGGTGAGGAGCACCTAGGACAGATACTGTGTCAGTTTACAGTTTGTGGGCCCCAACAGCATACAAAACCTTTTTAATAAAGTTTAGAATGGTGTTCTTGGCATATCACAAATATTTTCAAATGAAAACCATAAATGTTTTGACAATTGCAGAAAAATTGAAGATTTCCAGGGAAACATCTGTGTATCTACCACCTGATTCTGCCTGTTCCCCATGCTGGCCTGGAGGACCTTCTCTGTCCACCTAGAAGGGCAGGAATGCCAGGAATGGGGTGGGGGGCAGCAAGTCCTAGTGCCCCTGTCTGGGCTAAGAACAATCACGCAGTGAAGTCTCCACATCTTGGGGTAAAGGGTGGCTGAACATGGACAGCCCATGGCCACAGGGTTCCATAGGCCTCACCTTGCTCTCCAGGCTTTCCGCTGTGGCCTTCACAGCAAGTAAGAGTCCTGTGCTGCCCACCCCACTAGTAAAGCCACTCTGGAAAGTGATCTGCAGCCAGGGAAGGCAGTGGGAAGCCAGAATCCCTGCTGTGTCAGAAGCCGAGGTTTGCAAGTGGCTGTCCCAGAAGCTGAGGGCCGCTGGCCCTGGGCACAGAGCCCACAGGTGGATCCAGCCACAAAGCGTCAAAGGCCAGAGCTGTTGGCGCAGAACTGGCCGGTGACCTCAGCCCTTGAAAGCCTTCTGTGGTGAGGGCACCAGCTGATGACATGGTGATGGTTTGTTTCCTAACACAGACACTTGATGCTACCAAGAGGAAAAATAGCAATTTGCAGAGAAGCGTGACCAACTAATGGAAGCAAATGTGGCCCGTAAAGGGACACAGCAATGTCTTGTGCCCACTGGACCTTTACTGAAAGTGCAGTGTCATGGTGAGAGACCCAGGGCAAGCTCAGCAGGGGCTGCAATGCAGTCCGTCACTGGGCAGTGCACATGTGACACCCCAGAGGACCAGAGACAGAGGTCTGCAGAGGAGGCCCTGCAGATGGTGGCATCCCAAGTCACTCCTGACTCCTGATGGGCAGGGATGGGCTTCAGTGAGCCTGGGCTGGGGCTGCCTCAGCATAGCAGGCGCTTTGCTGGCACAGCCACAGGCTTGGTCTGTGGAAACAGTGGGCTGTATTACTTGCTTTTAGGTTTTTTTAGTGCTGAAGATTGGACTCAGGGCCTGGTGCTTGCGAGGGCACTACAGTGACTGGGTGACACAGTGTCACAGGGGCTCCTTGGAGAATCCGTGCTTCCCAGGAATAACTTAGTGAACAAGTGTCCTGGGAGAAGGAGGTGTTGTAGGAAAGGGAGACAATTTTCCAGACATTTTCAGTGAATCAGCTGGGGCTGCCTGGAGGAGGTAATACTGCAGGAGAAGGGCAAATGTTCCGCAGCAGCTGTGGCCCCCACAGGGCTGCGGTGCCTCAGGCTTCAACACTGTTCTGTGCTGGTATCTTTCATGCATCCTTGATCCTCCTCAGTCCAGCGGAGCTCCCCTGAAAGCTCTCTTGGAGCTTGAACACAGAGGAGGTGCCAAAGACCCACAGCACCAGAGCCTGGCAGGTGGCCCAGTGCTGCTCCCTGGTCACTGGCAGACAGCAGTCCACCTGAATGAGGCCTGTGGCTGAGTGACTAGGAGACCCCAGTGCCAATGAGGGTGGGGGAAGGAGCCAGGTGGGTGGGTGATAGGGGTGGGGAAGCTGGGGTGGGCAGAGCTCCTCTCATTCTACCAATTCTGCTCGTACACCTGGGGCTGGGGAGATACTTCAGTAGAATAAGCGCTTCCCTGGCAAGTGCAAGGGCCTGAGTTCAATCCCTCTTTCCGCCAAAAAAAACCAAACTCGTACACCTGTGTCACCTGTCTTTTCCTTCTCTCTGGACCCCACTGTGTAATGCCCACAGCTTTCCAGATCAGCCAGCATGAGCCCTGAGAGGCCATCCACAAATATGCACAACTGAGTCAGGACCTTGGGGCACAGGAGACAGGGACCAGCATCACAAGTGTGTTGCTTGTGACCAGCATTTATAAATTCAAGTTTTTGGGGGCTGGGGAGATAGCTCAGTAGAATAAGCGCTTGCCTGGCAAGCGCAAGAGCCTGAGTTCAATCCCTGGTACCACAAACAAAATATAAATAAATTCAAGTTTTCAGAGCCAGCCTGTAATCCCAGCACTGCAGGAGGCTGAGGCAGGAAGACTGCAAGTTTGTATCCAACCTGGGCAGCTTTGTGAGACCCTGCCTCAGAATAAAAAGTAAAAAAGGTTGGGGATGTAGCTAACTCAGTGTGAGACACACACACACACACACACACACACACACACACACACACACACCACACATGCAGGCATGTATTCAGCAGTGGGCTGAGCCACCAGCTAGACAGGTAGAGGCAGGTTCTGCCGCTGGATGTGAAGCCCAGGAGAACCTTGCCCTTACCCCGCATACCCCACAGGGCAAGCATGGCACCCAACACTGCCCAGGACCCCAGCACCAGCAGTGAGGAAACTGCATAACTCAGTTTCATTGCTCACCCATTTTGCACTGTTAAGTCTTTCAAGGGCAGCAGCAAGCCCACTGGGGTCCAGGTTGTGTCACTGCTGGGAGGTCAGAGGCCTGTGGCACAGGGTCCTGTTCCCGAAAGGGACCTTGAATGCTGAGGCCACCAGGCTCAATTTTCTGCCACATGTGACCCCTGGTGGAAATAGCCTGGCGGGGCAAGGTGGGCCCAGACACCCAGACTTCCAGGTGCCCAGTGTGGGTCCCTCCTGCATCTGGACTCCAAGACTGAGAGAAACCTCGTTTGGGGTGACAGCTTCTTGCCACTGTTTTTGTTTTTTTCATTACCTTCTAATAATTAAATGAAAGAAAAAGTACTGTACCAAAGGCTGTCTGTCTGGGCATCTGGCTGACAGACACTTCTCACTGTATAATTTCTGTAATGTCAGCTGTGCAGGGAGTGTGGATCTCAGTGCAGAGCCCCATCCCTGACTTCTGCCACCCCTTATGCCCCCCGCCCCACCCTACCAGCAGTGAGTGGCAGCCTTTCCCTGGTCTCTTTCACAGGAAAAGTGTTTCCACAGTGCGGTTTTGATAACAGTCACCCAGAGACTTCTGAATGAACACTGGCCTGCAGTGACCCAACTGTCCTCTTCCTCGCATGGCTGTCCACACTGGTCACTGCAGAGTTGTGGGCTGCTGTTCAGCTCCACAGCATAGGCTGGGGACTTAAACACTCCCCAGGGGCTCCTTCCAGGTCTGGTATGTGATCCAGTCACATCTGGTTATCACTGCTGTGTTGTGTGCAAGAAAGTGTCCTTTCTGCCAAGTAGTGTTCTAAGCAGGTGCCAGCAAACAGCAAGAATAGGAGGTTTCGGTGTCTTTCCCTACTGTTGATTTCCTTGAATAGTGGGACCAAGTTTCTAGGAACAGCAGTGCCCTCTAGGGCCCCACGGCTGTGCAGCGAGCAGTTCCCCACGACTGAAGGTTCCCAGGGGGCAAGGCTTCTCCCAGCTTTACCCTCATACAGTGCACTGAGGGACTTAGGGTCTAGCACTGCCATTTGCAGTTAGTGTATCCTGAAAAGAGCCTTTAACTGTTCAAAGAAGATTTCTTCCTGGAAGGAAATCCCTCCTGGAGGGTTCCAGAGAGACTGAAGGTGTAGCACAGCAGCAGGGTTAAGTGCCTGCCATGCTCAAAGCCCTGGGTTCAAACTCCAGTACTGCAAAACTTTAGCCAGGAAGATGGCTCAGTGGAATAAGCGCTTCCCTGGCAAGTGCAAGGGCCTGAGTTCAATCCCCGGTTCCACTAAAAACAAACAAACAAACAACAACAACAAAACAGGAGAAAGCAAAAGTTTCATTCAACACACTGTCATGCAGCTCTGTAACCATTCCAAAATTCTGTCTCAGTTTCAAGAAAATATCAAGTAGACACAAATGCAAAATATTCCCAACCACTAGTTACCTGTGGTCCACCCACAAAGTTCTCAATGGTCTTTTGTCCCGCAAAGTCAACAGGAAGTGGAGAAGAAAAAAACTTTCTGGAACCCTCAGAGTGGGGTGGTATTTCTTTTGTGCCTGTCTCCTGGGCTTAGAGCCCCTCTGAGCTCACTCAGTGCCCCACCTGGATTCCTGGACCCCAGCTCAGCAGCTGTGACATAGGTGAAAGGCCAGGGACTCGGCATTTGACCCCCAGCAGAACCTGCAGGTTGCTGCTTCAGTAAAAGGTGACTGTGGTGCCCCCTCTGCACAGACCTGCATGGGGAGCCCATGGCAGCTTGGGTAGAGTTAGCAAAAGGCGTCCCTTTCTCCAGGCAGATGCAGCCCCAGCCCCCAGGCCCCAGCCCCGGACCATGTGCTGTGTCACCAACAGCCATGCACACACACAGCCAAGCACCCACTGTGGGGAGTCTGTGCCCGACTTGGTGAATTGCAGTGGTGGCTCTGCCAAAGGCCATCTGTGACCCCACAGGAACAGAGACAGAAGCTGGGAGCCACTCAGGAAAAGGGAGGAGGAGGCGGGAGGAAATGAACACAGCCTAACCAGCCAGCTTGGAGGATTGCGGGGCAGCTTCTCATGAAGTCCTAGTCAGGGAACCGTCTTTGCACCAGGAGCGTGCAGGACTGGGCCAAGGCTTGAGTATCTGGATTTCGTCCACGAATCTTAGCGTCACCCTTATACCTGAGTTCCTGCATTTGGAAATGCTGTCCTAGTCAGAATAGCCCACAATTTTAATAAATTTAATATTACTAATATCTATATTGTGTTATTCAGATATCAACAAATATTAATATCAATTTACTGAGATGCTAGATATGTATTACTTAGATTTTTTCTTCTTTCTCTTGCATAAATTGATTTCTTTTTTTTTTTTTTTTTCTTGGCTTAGATTGAAATATTTCTGTCCCATAAGCTCTTCAGTTGTAAGCACCAGATGAGAGCTGTGAAGGGAGAATCTCTGCTCATATCGGTATCAGAACTTAACTCTGCCACGTGTTTTCCCTACTTTCACAATGAGAATTTGAGGATTCTTAACAATTCAGGAGCGAAATCTACAAAAATCCCATCTCCTGTTGCTAGATATTTTTAATGGATAAAATGAAATATTTAAGTTTTTCTGGTGTATCGCAATTTACCAAAACAATGTTAAGAATGCATCTTATGGTGCTAATTGATCAAGGAAGTAATCTAGTAATAGACTATATAGGATGTTTATAAGGCCCTATATTTATTTCTGAATTTAAAAATTTTAATCATTTACTAAGGCATTCTGCTTTATGTTGAAGAACTGTAGACGTAGTTCAGTATAAAATACATATATTTCCCATAAGATTAATGCCAGCACTTGGGAGGCTGTAAACAGGAGGATCACTACAAGTCTGATCTACACAGTGAGACCTTATACATCCTGTCCTAAATACAAAACAAACAAACAAAAAAACAAACTAAAAACAAAAAAACCACCACAGGCTTAAAAACAACCACAACAACAAAATCAGTAAGACTTAGAGCAAGAACTATTCTGTTGAAATGTTGTACTGTAACGTGGGACAGTGTAAATGCACTTCATGATTTCTATCAAGGTGAAATAAAAATTCTGAAAAAAAATAAGGCCACCACGATAAACATGGCTATGTGTTAAGATAAAAAGAAAAGTCAGTGATCAAGTTAATAAATATAAAATATATATAGTTCCCGCTAAAGCAGCATCTGAGGATGATCTGAATGAGGCCTGAGATCTTATCCTGATTGGAACAACCTGTACCCCAATGCTTGCCACATAGTTGTTGAATATAGTTAAAAATGTAGAATCAGGTAAGAAAACATTTGTCTGGACCTCAAAACACCACATAGTAGGAGCAAGAGCAAGAACATTAAATCACTTTTAAAGGAAAAAAAAAATTAAGCGCTAAGAGAAATTTTAAATTTCAGAGTACTGACCGTGATAAGTAGTTTCTCTGGGGAGCCTAGTGCGGCCGCGTGAGGGTCTTGGTAGAAGTGAAAGGAGCGGCGGTGGGCGGGAGAGGTCGCCCCTGTGCAGCGGCGGAGCTGCAGGCTCTGATTGGCTCCGGCCACCAGGCAGGTCTTATTGCAGCCGTTCCCAGCCTGCTGTAGGTGTGGTCCTCCTTTGGCAGCGAGTGAAAGGTCGCAAACCTGCATCTTTTGTTTAGGAGGAACAAGATCTTATTATGTAGTTTGATTAGTTTTGCATGCCCGGAAGAGTTTCCTGCCTTTTAATTTTACTTTAACCTTGTACTACAACAAACGTGCTGTTTAGTGCGTTTCGTGCTGTATTTTGATTGTGGAACTTGAGGACGCACTGGGAGAAGGCTGGCTACATGTGCTCCACACCTGAGCAGATGCCTCTCTCTTTTCTGTGTGTGGCTTTGGTCCCCTGATACAGGCTGAACACATACTGTGTGTCAGGCACATTTCTAATGCTTTTTGTGTCATTTAGGGAATTTTTTCCAGAATTTTGTGGGGTGGAAGAGTCATCATCCCATTTTCCTCACCAGGAAACTGAGGCCAGGAACAGTTAAACGAGGTGGTAGTGAGGAATTGGCCGAGAGGGGACTGCTGATTTGTGCCACAAACACCACACACTCTTCCCATGCAACCTCACATGACAGCCCTTGCCAACAGGAAAGACTTCTGGGTCCATCACCCTCGCCGTGGTGACAAGGAGGTGGCCTCTTACTGCTGAAGTTCAGGAAGGTGCTTTGGACTCCCCACACCAGGCCAGACTCCAGACTAAACCAGACAAAGCTTTGGCTGCTGAGGGTGTAGCATGGTGAACTGCGAGCCCCTTGTCTTCCAGAAGCTGAGGTTAAAGTCACCCTGAGACAGCATGATAAGGAGGAGCTCTGTGGCCTTAGGTCAGGAGAGGAATTTCAAGATGAACATTCTGTTTGTGGTTTCATTTCTGCTTTTGTTACCCCTTCAGCCTATAGAGCCTGTGTTCAGTGGTTGGGGCACACAGAACAATGTGATCTTTAAATTTATTGTAATTTTGTTCTTTGGAGATTAAATTAGGAAATCAAAAATTAAAATATTGACAGAGGTATGGTGGCTCACACCTGTAATCCCAGCACTGAAGCGGCTGAGGCAGGAGGGTCATCAAGAGTTCTAGGCCAGCCTGGGCTACATAGCGAGACTCTGTCTTGAAGACCAAATAGAAAAAACTAACTGTTAGGAAATATTTCAAAAGAAGGAAATGCAAATAATAAGATAATAATAGTAAGAAGAAAAGGGAGAAAAAGAGGAGAAAGAAGAGGAGGAGAGAAAGAAGAGAAGCACAAAGAAATTGGATGGGATGGACTGAAAACCACTGTAGTTTGCATCTGAGGTAGGATCCTAGATGACTCATTTATTGGCTATGTGACCTCTGAAAGCCACCTCAGGACTCTGGCAGATCTTCTCCAAGGGGAAGGGAGCCCCAGGCGGAGAGGAAGGAAGGGAGGGAAAGAGGAATGGGTCTGTGTTGTGTGTATGCAGCCCAAGAATGCAAACATGGTGAACTGCAGACGTGGAAGGATAAAAAAGGAATGTAAGCTGGTTTCTTCATCTGTAATTCTGGGAAAATGAGGCCCCTCATCGGAGTTATTCAGAGGTCATTGATATTACTTGGTCATTTTCTTAAGTTTTCATCTTAACAGTCATTGAACACTCACTGTCAGAAACTGCTGAGCCCCCTAAATCACAAAGCCTCACACACCAGGGCAGCTTTCCAGGTGTGGGAAGACACATCATGGAAACAAGAAGAGGGCAGCTTTGGGTGAGAAAAAGCAACAGCAAAATTTGAGCCTCAAAGCAAGCATCTCATCTAATGCCCAGGAAACAGACAGGGAGATCATAACTTTGAGATCACCCTGGGCTACAGGGCAAGACCCTGTCTCAGCAACAACAGATGGGCATGGTGGCACATGCCTGTAATTTGGGAGGGTGAGGCAGGAGAATTGCTGAGAGTTCAAATCCAGCTTGAACTTCTTAGCAAGACCTGGTCTCAAAAAAACAAAGAACAGTAACAATAACAACAAAAAAAATTAAATTTAAATGATTGACAATGGGACACTGTTGGATAACTTAAAATGCATTCATAAGAAGAAATGGGGGCTGGAGAGATGACTCAGTAGAATAAGCACTTGCCTGGTAAGCACAAGGGCCTGAGTTCAATCCCCGGTTCTGCAAAAAAAAAAAAGAAGAAGAAGAAGAAGAAGAAGAAGAAGAAGAAGAAGAAGAAGAAGAAGAAGAAGAAGAAGAAGAAGAAGAAGAAGAAGAAATGATTAAGCCATTAAAATGTATTTTCCAAGCAATATTTGATAACAAGGTAGATGCTCTGTGCTTATCTAACAGGTAATTTTATGTTTCAGCAGCAGAGGGGCACCGCCCTGTTCACTGGGTGAGAAGGATCTGTTTCCATGTGTATACTCACCTCCAATAAAAAATTGCTGCGGCCTCAGGATTTTATCATTTGAATAGATGCCAGTGCTCTCTCCTGTTTTCACACAGGAGAACATTTCTTTGAAAATTTTTTGAGGAGGTGGGCATCGTGGCACACACCTGAAATGCCAGCCCTTGGGAGGCTGAGGTAGGAGGATTGAATCAGGCTGAGGTTGGAGGATTGAATCAGGCTGAGGTCGGAGGATTGAATCAGTTTAAGGCCAGCTGAACTACAAAGCCAGGCCCTGTCTCAAGGAAACAAAACAAAACAAAACAAAACAAAACAAAACAAAACAAAACAATAACAACAACAACAAAACCCACCACCACCACAACAAAAACAAGACAAAAGAAAATTATTTGTAGCTTGAACAAAAATTCCCCAGGTACGTGACTCAAGGACTGTTCTGTCATCCTGCAGGATTCAGAGAATTCAAGGAAAGCTTCCTCTTTACTTTGGAGAGAAGAGGTTCCTGTGACCTCCTCAAGCAGGACAGTGTTGGTGATAACACAGGGCAAGAGAGTAGATGCTGCCTGTCACCTAGCAGTTACCCTGTAGGTCAGCTCCCTTGAGCCAGGGGATTAGAGCACTGCAAAACTGGGTGGGGAAGTGGGCGTGGTCTATTAACAACAAAATCCGGACACGTGCGCAGAACAGTTCCCGAAGCCCCGCATGTGGATTTCTCCAGCGAACTCCAACAGGGTTTCAGCAGTCTGCTTGGACCTGATCTCGGCCTGAGGCATGTGGGAGGGTTCCAGGCTGCCCCTCAGGATTCAGATGTCCGAGTTCTTGCATTTCCCCAAGATTTAGACAGCATAAAGGAAAGGAAGCCGCTAGGACTGGGATGTTTTAACTTCTCACGATATCCCACAGTGAACTTTTATTTTTATTTTTTTGTACTTTTATCTTAGCTCTTACCCTCTTTTGTCTTTAGTCAGGCTTGCCCTCTCTCTGTGGCTTAGTTGTTCTGCCGCTTGTAGCCACAGCTGACAGCTCAGCTTGAGCAAATTTGGGATGTAGAGGCAGCGCGAGGACCCGAGCCCTCTCCTTGTTGCGCTTGCCTCCGTCTCCACCTCAGTGTGACGCGTCAGGACCTGAGGATCGAAGCTGAGGACGTGGTGATCTCTGACAACCACTCACTCCATTCCTGAGACCCACAAAAGCGAGCAGCACCTTGTGAGCAGGCCAGAGTGGACATGCAGCCTGGCACAAACCCGTGCTGAGATAAGTCCCCCCGCCGCCACCGTCCACCTCCGTGCACAGTCACCCCAGCCAGCTTGCTGACTGCGGGCCGGGCTGTCCAGAGTGAAGCTTTTTTCCCCGCCCACCTCACTTCCAAGTCAAGCCATCGTGCAGTGACATCGTCTTGAACATCCCAGTTGTCCACTCTGAAACAACACATTTTTCTGGCAGCCTAGTGAAACCAGTGCTTTCTGCTGACACCATTTTCGGGCTCTGAAGAGCTGTGGTTGATCCACAACAGCTGCCCTATGACATTGGTGGGACACAGACCTCTCGTGCGGCAGGGAAACAAAGCAGTGTAGCCTGCACCCTCACAGAATCCAGGGGAAATGATTTTTTTTTTCCAGACTATAAAAACTTTAATGAAGGCTTTAACATTGAACAGATTTCTCACATAAAATGGAAACACAAATCTATAAATCACCATAAAGTACATGTAATACCCAGTAGGAAAACACGAAACAGCAAGCTTACACAATCCTCTAAAAGCCACGGTCTGCTTCTCAGAGGCTTCTTCCACCTGTGCGGTGTGTTCTGCTGGAAACAGAGCCCACTGCGGCTCCTCGGGTCAGACTCGGCTGATCTGCAGCCCAGAGACTTAGGGCAGGGATGTGGTCCCACTCAAGAGGCAAGGCAGTCATCAGCACATTCAAACAGTGTATTGAACATCCTTTAAATATCAAAGTGGGAAAAGAGAAGGCAACATAATCGTATTATCAGAAAGACGTCAGGCAGGAAGGACAGCTGTGTATAGCTTGAGGCTGAAAGGCAGCCTGTCAGCTTCATTTGTTTGGCTTCTTGAGTAGCGGCCATCGGAAAAGCAAGCTAGGAGCTTCTGGTTCATGGATCATATAAGGGACCCGTCCCTGACTCTGCTGAACACCAAGATTCCTCCATTCAGATTCAGACATCAAGTGAGTTCTAGGAACCAGTTTGGCTATACCCTTGGGCAACATGACATGCATATATTCAAACTCTTCCTCCTCGTATTTGTCCGAATAATGAATTTGTTTATGTGACATGCTCGCTCAGCCTGCGGGCCTTTAGCCCCACAATACCAGCCTCCAAACAACTCTCCAGGGGAAATGATCTTAAGTATGCTGTCTCTCCAGAGGTGAGAGAAGGGGTGGCCTTCGCTTGTGCCTTTTCCATGAGTTCTCACACTTTACAATTTTCTGTATACTTCAGGAAAAGAAAATGAGCCTCAAAAGGCTGCTGGCAGGAGATACAGAGGGCACTCCAGTGTATGCAGTTTGGTAACAGCCAGGGAAGAAGTGGACAGAGATGTACAGGTCGAGGTCCTCGGCCTGTGGAGACACAGAGCTGTCGTGGTGTCCAGGACTGGAGAGGGAGTTTCATCCCCTTTGGGACATCAGCCG